GGGACACAGAATCCACCACGTCTCGCTGACCGGTATTGACCTTTCTGACAATTCTTTCTCCTTTGTCTCCAGATGCTGCCTTTACAAAGATAATTGCGATGCAAAGGCCTCTGTGCTAACTGAACACAAAATAAAACTTTGTACAGGAATAGCACACACCAACTTTACAAAATACACATGAGAATTTCTTTGTTATAAGTTTGTGTGTCAAAAACCAAAACAAACACAATTTTACTCCAATATTTAGCAGAGGTTGGCGGTGAAATGGCTACGTAGAAAGTGTCAAAACAACCTTAGGTAAATAGCCTGTGATGTCTACTTTATATAAATATATACTTTTGTGTCGCAATTTTGTTTTTTTTTATGGCTATTAAGCTTACAAGACAAACATACAAAATTCTGAAATCGCTCCACATGAAAAGTTTATTTTACTCCTTGTGCTTTGTGACCTGTAACTACCCAAAAAATGTAAAGGACCACTATAGTTCCAGGAAAACATACTCATTTTCCTGGCACTATACTGCCCTGAGGGTGCCCCCACCCTCAGGGTCCCCCTCCCGCCCGGCTCTGGGGAGAGGAAAGGGGTTAAACTTACCTTTTTTCCAGCGCCGGGCAGGGAGCTGTCCTCCTTCTCTCCGCCTCCGATCCTCCTCTTCGGCTGAACGCAGGAGCTGCACGCGCATTCAGCTGGTCTCATAGGAAAGCATTTACAATGCTTTCCTATGGATGCTTGCGTGTTCTCACTGTGATTTTCACAGTGAGAAGCACGCAAGCGCCTCTAGCGGCTGTCAATGAGACAGCCACTAGAGGATTTGGAGGCTGGATTAACCCTAACATAAACATAGCAGTTTCTCTGAAACTGCTATGTTTATTAAAAAAAGGGTTAATCCTAGAGGGACCTGGCACCCATTAAGCTGAAGTGGTCTGGGTGCCTAGAGTGGTCCTTTAAAATGAATTTATTTTTAATTGCTTTCCTTAACCTGCACTAATTGTGCACACATTATTATTCCAAAAACTGTAAAAAAATAAAAATAAATTAAAGTTTGTATGCATTTTTCTATATTTTATATATATATATATATATATATGTTTGTTACATCAAATTAAAGCCCTTTCTGTCCTTTAAAAAACGGTATATAATATGTGTCGGTGCGATAAATTAGTAAAATGCAAATTGCAGTTGAACATAAACAGCAAAAAATGCTGTTGACATTAAGTGAAAGACAAGCTTCTGAAGCTCTGTCTTTAAGGGGTTAATGTTACAATTTGTTTCTTGTTCAAACTTTATTAAAGCATGTATTTAATAATGTCTTGTTATGTCTACTAATCTTACCACCATCTCCACGCTTCTGGACTTTGACTGAATTCCATCTCCTTTCTATACTACCACTTTTATCCTCCTTTGACCCTCCGCCTTACGGCAAGAATAGCAGACTTTTAACCAATTAATCACTTTTTTTGTCTAAAATAAAAAATTCTTACAATCCACAATTTAGTGAAAAACTTTGTTAATGTCTTATAAATATGAGATAAATTATTTCATGAATCCTTCATTAAAGAACCACTATAGGCACCCAGACCACTTCAGCTGAATGAAGTGGTCTGGGTGCCAGGTCCATCTAGGTTTAACAGTTTTTGCTGTAAACATAGCAGTTTCAGAGAAACTGCTATGTTTACCTATGGGTTAATCCAGCCTCTAGTTGCTGTCTCATTGACAGCAGCTAGAGGCGCTTCCGTGCTTCTCACCGTGATTTTCACAGTGAGAAGATGCCAGCGTCCATAGGAAAGCATTGAGAATGCTTTTCTATGAGACTGGCTGAATGCGCGCGCGGCTCTTGCTGCCCATGCGCATTCAGCCGATGACGGAAGAAGAGGGAGGAGAGTCTCCAGCGCCGAGGGAGCCCGGCGCTGGAAAAATGTAAGGGATTAACCCCTTCCTCCCCCTTCAGCGCCACGGGAGTGGGACCCTGAGGGTGGGGGCACCTTTAAAGACATGATTTGGGCCCTTGGTGGGCTACGCTGCCGCTGGGGAGAGGAGGTAACAAGCTCCTCTCCCTTACATACTTTCAGCCGCTGGGGAGAGGGGGTAACAGGCTTCTCTCCCTGACACTCTCTCTGCTGGTGGAGAGGGGGACCGACTGTCTACCCTTTCAATATATTATCCTGCTGCTGGGAAGCGAGAATGACTGTCTCATCTGCCCCATCTGGGAGAATAAGGTTTGTGAAATATGCTGCCGCTGGGGAGGAATGACGGCACCTTCGGCTCCCTGTGATACATACTGCTGCTGGGGAGGAAGGACGGCACCTTCGGCTCCCTGTGATACATACTGCCGCTGGGGATCTGGGCCGACCGCCCAGCATCCCTGTAGGGCCGGTAGAGAGACTGCCATCCCATCTCCACCTGCCATCTGTGGGTCTTCCCAGGACCAGTCTGTGAGGTCCCTCAACATTTGCGAGTAAGGACCACCTGCTTCCGCACCTGGCAACTCTGGCTGCTGCTGGGGATCTGGGCCTCGGTCCCATCTCCAACTGCCTGTTGTGGTTCCTCACAGGACCAGTCTATGAGGACCCCTACTTCGGGTTCCTGCAGCCGCCTCAGGGGGAGACGGCTAGCCTCCTCGGATGCAGCCTCTACTCGGCTGCTGTAACACTCCTTCCGCTGAGCATACTCTCTCTCTTTCGCCAGCCGGAATTCTCGGGCCAGCCTTGTGTTTCGCTCGGCCGTGACCTGGTTCCAGATCACCCGGCGTATCTCCATGGGTACATCATCCCCATACTGGGCCACTTGCTGCCTCACTTCGGCCAGCCAATCATTTTCAGAGCCAGAGCCTTCCATACCTGTGTGCTCCTAGTCGCTGGATACCTCTGCTCCCAGGGGCGCTGCACGAGTGCTAGCGTTGCCCTCAATTTGTAACTCCACGAACGGTGTATCTGAGCTGCTTTACCTCGCACTAGGACGCCATCCCACCGCTTGCCACCAATGTAACGGAGAGCTTATTTCCCACAGCTTAACTCCACCAAGTACTTTAAGAGGATACAGGAACAAGTAATAAATCCAATAGAATCTTCAGCACAATCAGCAATACAATCCAATAATATCCCATCACTTTCCCCAATCACTGGACGACACACAGTATCATGAGTAGAACTGAACTTTTAATCACACAACCTTCTTTTAAAGCATTCTCCCATGCAAGAGAGGGATTTACAGTAATTACATAATACACCAATCATACACGCGTTGCCACCCACACATCCCCTCCCCTTAGTGCGACACATAATCTCATTATGTAAGACACAGTTCCCCTTGTTTTCTGGATGTACCCCTAAACCTAGGAGTACCCCTTTAAATATTACATCCCCTGGTAGCCCTGATCTGGGTGAGACACATATCCAAAAATTACCCAGATCAGATCAGGGGTTCAGGAGTTATGGGGGTTTAAAGTTTTGTGGAGGTGCCTTTAGGCCCTGAAGCATGGCTTACCAGCCCAAACCAGTTCCAAGTAGTCTGGCAGTGTGCCTGGGACAATGCCCTGCTGGAGAACAATGGGACAGGAAACGGGGGCGGGGTGCACCTTCCCATACACAATCCATACACAGTCCAACAGAAGTCCATACACTGGGCTGAAAGGGCCAGTAGCCACATAATAAAAATCCATCATGCCCAAATACTGTCTTGAAAGGGCAATACCCCCAGGGCCATAGTCACATGGCAGGAGGCAGGCAAGCAAGCCTCTCCAAAAGCTCATGGCAAACTCTCTTAAAGGGTTGAGTTTGCTACATATCTCCTATTTCCCATTGAGACTATCCAGACTCCAGACCTCCCAGCGGTCTGGTGCTCTGATAGTCTGCCGGCCTTTCTCAAAAGGTGTAGTTGTCCAGATGGCCTCCTGCCACCTGTGCCCAGTTGTAGATCCCGGGTCTTGTGGAAAAACAACCAGGATGCCTTCTCCCCTGGTTGGACAAAGCTGTTGCTGGGGACGGCGGATGCAGTTCCCCTCCTCTAGACCTGGTGGGTCGAGGTCCGCAAAACTTTGCTCTTTGGTCCTCAGTGCCCTTGATGTAGATGGTGCGCCATCAGGATCTAAGGCAAAAAGGAAGAGAGGGCAGAAGCTGCCTGCTTTCTGCCCGGATGCCAGCTTTTCTTCCTGCAACGCTCTCCCTTGTTGTAGGGGAGAACCAACTGTTTCCCCTTCCAATAAATGGTCCCGCCGTTGGGAAGCAGGACAGACTGTCCCTACCCCCGGGGGTGCAGGTGCAGAGACTACGGTCCCATCTGTACTGTTGTGGGGCTTACTGTCTCCCCTTGGTGGGCTATGCTGCCGCTGATAAGGGAGGACGCTGCTCTCCCCTCCCAGTGAAACACACTGCCGCTGGGGACCTGGGCCAACCGTCCAGCATCCCTGTAGCTCACCCTGCCGCGGGGGAGAGAGGACGCTATTCTCCTCTCCCTGCAAGGTATACTGCCGCTGGAGAGGGAAGACGTTGCTCTCCACTCCCAGTGAAACACACTGCCGCTGGGGATCTGGGCCGACAGCCCAGCATCCCTGTAGCTCACCCTGCCGCTGGGGAGGGAGGACGCTACTCTCCTCTCCCTGCAAGGTACACTGCCGCTGGGGAGGGGAGACGATGTTCTGCACTTCATACTGCCGCTGGGGATCTGGGCCGACTGCCCAGCATCCCTTTAGGGCCGGTAGAGAGACCGCCGTCCCCTCTCCAACTGCCGTCTGTGGGTCTTCCCAGGACCAATATCTGGGCCTGGTTGGGGAGTAGATGGTGCAGGCCCCAGGTCTCCTGATGATGGACTTAGTTGTTGGGGAGGAGGGACGAAACTCAACGCTCCCAATGGTGTACAGTCCATAAGCCCTACCATGTCAGAGAACTGTGGTGTCACTGGATCAATTAGCGGATCATAATCCTGTTCGAACTCCCACTGCTCTGGCGATACCTGCAGGGTATAGGTTGACTGACTGGAGCTGATCAGGTGCTGGTAATCCTGCTCAAGTTCCCTGGACGGCCAATTCAATCAGGTCTGCCTCCAGGTCTTCAGCCATAGGGAGAGCCAGCATGGCCTCTCTATAGTTAAATAAGTCCCAAAGCCGGAATTCTGCCACACTCCCAAAGTCCGGTTCCGCAAAGGCTCCCCATAATAAGCCAGGGCCATTGTAATTCTTGCCCTCCGGTTTGTCGAACTTGCCCATTCCGTGAACCCGCTGAACCGCGTACCAATGTAGCGCTTGGTATGCATCATCAAGAACCAGTTCCCTCCATGCCAGTGTATCAAGCTGTATCACCAACTCTCCCCCGGGCTGGTCTCCCAGCATAGGTATCTGTAGGGCCATTCGAGCTTGTAATCGCTGCTCCTTGCTGGGGAGGCGCTCACCTCGCCAACGCTGGACACCCTCCAGAGTTTCTTCCCACATCTCTTGTCGGGCGCCCTCTCTGCATGCCAACCTGGTTGCCTCTGCTATCGGCTTATCCAGTGTGGCCAAGATGCTCTGTAACCTCCGGTTAAACTCATCTTCCACCTCAAGCTCTGTCCAGGGACTCGCTGGCTCTATGTCGCTCCATATTGATTCCTGTGTCTCCAAGGTGCTCTTACTCTCTGGAGTTTGTTGGACCCTTTGAGTTAGTACAAACTCCTGTACTTCCGTCATGGTTCTGGAGACAATCTCTGCTGGTGGGTTTTCCCCATAGAATGACACCCGGAATTGTAGTTCCCTTTGAAATTCCCAACGCTGCCAACCGGGTCAAGCAGAACTGACTGGACTGGCACATACAGCCTCTTTTATTCACAATCCACAAATATAGTACTGCCCACAGGGTTTTGAAACACAGCAAATCAATCCGTGCAATACACACAGACACTCCCACACAAAATCCTCCCCTCTGCCTGTCATATGATTACTGAACACAATGGTTAATTTAATTATCACAGGCAGAGAAATACAGTATTATAAAATACATCACAGGGACCCCAAAACATGCAATAGCCCCAATATCCTTGGAACCGGGGGATCTGGGAGAACCACATATCCTAAATTCACCCAGATCCGTTCAGTACTTTGGAAGATACAGATTCCACAGAACATATGCAGGCTAAATGAAAAACAATTACTGTACAATGTGTCCCCTGTTGTATAGTCCAAAACCACTGCACGGTGTCTCTGTGCACCAAATACCGGCGAGATGGCACTGTGTTGAAAAGTCCAAACAGTGTCTGTGAGTTAAAATGGCCGCCATTCATTGTTCTCACCATGTGCTTCATCCATTGTTCTCACCATGTGCCTCTGATACATGAAATGGTGGCCATCCAGTAACTCCACAGTATGTCCCCAGATGGTTCTTAAAGGGCCAGCAGCAGCACAACACAAATCCATTATGCCAAAATCATGTCTTTAAAGGGCAATACATCACAGGGGCCATAGTCACATGGCAGGAGGCTGGCAATCAGTCTTCTCCAATGCCCAGCGGCGAGGTCGGTTTCGCCACATGCACAGGTTTCCCATGTTTCATTAGTTCAACACACTGAAAAAGGGAGAAGGCAGGCACACGCTAGTACAGCACCTCCTGCCTCTTCTGGTAGCTCTGTGGAGCTAAAGCAAGTGGAAGAAAACCTTCCAAGCTGTGTGACAGACAGGGAGATGTCTGAACCCCAATTATAAAAGGGCTGATTTATCTATTGAAATCAGCACTTTTATAAACTGTCAAGAAAATGACAAACTCCAGACATATAAAGCACTTCAGCAAGTTTTAAATACCTTGTGTGTATGGAGGATTCCTCTCTCTTAGCAAACTGCCTTATACATACACACACTCACAAAAAACAGCCTTATACATATAAACACTCACAACGCCTAATACACACACACACACACACACACAAAGTGCCTTATACATTCATGGAAACAAAATGCCTAATACACATATACAGAAACATACGAATACATACATACACCAAAACATAAAAACTGCATCATACTCACAAACTCTTCCTAATACATATACACACACTGCCTAATGCATACACTTACACTCTGCCTAATACTGCAGACTGACACTAACACTGACCCACACACATACACACACTGATCCATACACAGGCTCACACACACACAAGCTACACATTCCCTGACAGTCACACAGTACAGAATACCTGCAGCAGCCTTTGCATACACACAAACAAACACACACTTTCTCATACATACACACCCACACTGCCTAACACATACATACACACTGCCTAATACATACACAGACACTGCCAAATTTATATATATATATATATATATATATATATATATATATATACATACACAGCAAGTTTCCCTCCTTCCCTCACATACTCAGGTTGGGGCTAGGGGCTAGGGGCACTGGAAGCAGCACAGTCAGTCAGTCTGGAACATTTTCTGTGTCCAGTCTTTATGCCACCATGAGCAGGACAGGGGGAGCAGCACAGAAATGTTCTCCATCCCACTGCCCTCCTCTTCAAAGGACTTCTGGAGGCAGGGATTTGGGAGGAGGGGTTAGTGGAAGGTGTGGCAGAGTTAGAATTTTTAGGGCAAGGAAGGGCGGGGTTATTTGTGGGGTGGGCAAAGTTAAGGGTTTGTGGGTGAGCAGAGGTGGGGTTATGATCGTAACCCCTATGCTTTGATGAAAGTATTTTATGTTGCTGAACTACAAGGAGGAGGGCTGCAGCAGTGAGGGGAGGGTGCCAGCAGCTGTATTACATGCGGAGGCGGGGTCTCTGTTCTCATGGGGGATTCAGACTGTATTTCAGGTCCTGCGGGTGCCCCCGCACATACAGCGCCCTAGGCAACTGCCTAGTTTGCCTGTAGGAAGTGCCGGTCCAGATGACAGTCTCATTTTTTGTCTCGTGTCCTGCCGTCCTGACTTTGTTCCCTGGTGTCCCACTTTTGGGGACACCAGAGAACCATCCCAAGAAGCATGCAAATACTCTTTTATGCTCAGGTCATTAGGACCAGGCAAACAGTACTCTCTGTATTGTCTGCTCTTGGTGGCCAGTCTATTTGATTGACAGGCAGCCTGGTGTGCATTCATGCTAGGCTGACCTCTCAATTCTACAGGTGGACCCGCCTCCTTTGGGTAGAGCAAATAACGAGAATAGCATCACAGGCACGCCCCCTTTCATTTCTTCCATCAGCGTCCTGTGAAGTTGGGAGGTATACTGATAGGAGAAATATTGCTCCTTTAACTATGCAAACTTTTTCTAGTTTGTTATTGTTGAATTCATTGTTCTTTTTTTTCTCTATAATAATATTTTTTATAGTGGTTTCTCAGTTTAGTCCATTTAGTAGTAAGTAATAATAGATGCTAATTTTGTAGAGTACAATACAAGTTACGTAATGAGGAGAATACCATTGAGATCAGGCTGGCTTTCTGTGCCTTCATTTTTTTTACCATCCCTGTTTGAGTGCTAGGATTTGTCCAGGATTTATTGTTTTGTAAAGTACTCATCTTTTTGCAGGCTGCACCTTTACTTTAGTTGAACCCCTTAAAGTAAACTCTTCCTCATTCATCCAGAATGGGTAAGTGCTTTGAGATCCAGTTATGCCTCAGAGACTGCTTTACATAAATTGCTCTCATTTTAAAAACAACATTTCTGTGAATAATATTACGATGCTAGCTCAATCAATTTCCTTTTTCGCTGATTCAGTGCATTTTTTTTTCCTGTTGGAATACATTTTCACGTTTCATATTTAAAAAAACCCCACAAATTATAAAATATTCAAGAATGTCAAGGCTCACAAGGCTTAGAAGCTAGATTATTGAGTTTTAGAAGCCGTGCTTGACTTTCTGAAGACTGTGAATAAAAACCATCAAGAGGCAGCACGATTTTGTCAAAAGATTAGAATACAGCTTCAAACTAATGAAAGGATACATCAAATAAGTAACCTGTTTGAGTACATGTAGTTTTTTATGCTGCCATCTCTCTGGGGTGTCTTGCTGGATTTCCTCCTCTAAGCTGGTTTTCATTACAGGATAGCGATGCTATATTTTCGTTCAAGGTAAAAGAAAAATAGACAAGGACTGCTTTCTCAGGGTTGCAAATCACATGTAATACGTTTGTAAGCAACCAGTATATTATCCTAGTGAAAAGATGAAGTACCCATTGAGTTTACAAGGTGACTACTCAGAAGGTAGAAAATGTCGCCAGAAAGAAAAACGGTGTCAATGTCCTACAATTATTTTTATTAAGGACAATTGTGTTTGTTTCTCTTCGGCAGATGATTTAGTGGGTTCAGTGCGGCACACATTCACTCTTAATGACTGTTTCAACTTTGCCTTTTCTTATCGGTCAATGTAAACCTGTATGAGAACCAGTAGGCCAATAACTCAGATTCACCTCCCTCCTGATGGTAAGTCTTGTTTAAGAAAGTGGAAAAGCAATGGTTATGTTGTCATGATTTGGGTGGTGAGTGCATAAAAGGGCAGAAAATGTTAAATAACTGGACAATGTGGACTGAGGAATGGACACCTTCCTTCTTTAGAGAATGAAAGGCTCCATGACCTCCTTATAGAAGGGCTTTCGTTTCTTATGAATGTAAAAGGAAAAGTCTAGGTTAAAAATAAATCAAAAAAACATGTAGTATTGCACTTGAACAAGGCAGTTAACATTAAAAATGTATGCATTGCTTGCTTTTTCATAATCATTTTCCAATATAAGGTCTACCTCTTCTGAAAGTTCTGCAGCTAAACTGATTCGCACCCTTTTTGCAAAGCACTGCCTTCATGCTGGATACTGACCAATCAACATTCTCATAGAGAAACATTCTTGGACCCAGCAAGAACATTTGGAAGCTATAAAATCATACATGGACAGGTATTGATAAAATATATAAGTAGCAATATTAACTAATTAAATACTTGATCGTTAGAAATTATATAAATAAAACAAAATAATCATATTATGCTGAACTATGCCCCAAAAGTGCTTCTCTGAAATCATGCTTTTTTCACGTGAAGCTTTTTCTTCTTTCTTTATCTAACTTTATGTAATCTCACACAAGAGGTTGTTTTGCACCAGCAACCATATAAAAGAAGAGCATACAGGATCTTCTAAATAAAATATGATGTCCTTTGATTTGGTTTACAAATTAAAGGTTTTTTTTAGGAGGTGTGCAGGGAGCCTGTGTGTGTCACATCCAAGGATGGTGTGCCTAGGGCAGTAGAAATACACTGAGATAAATCCTCAACAGCAGAGAATAGTGCAGTTAGTCTGAAGATGTGTTGTCAGAATATTTATATCTGCAGACATTTTGTGCTAAGAAAGAAATTAAAAGTGTATATTGCCAGAGTCACTCAGAACAGAGCAGACTCCATTTTGCTATCTTCAGGATAACAAAGACACAATTTCTTCTTATTTTCTGTAACTAGCCACTTGCCTGAACTATGGAATAGATGCATTATATAAACACAGACACTAGTGACAGAGAAGACTAAGTAATTAATTTTACTTTCTAAATTTTACAAGGTTCCATTGTAAGTAAGGGATGAAATTGAGTTTAGAACTGTCAATTTTACAAATTACGATCAAAGTAGTTGCCACAAAGACTGAGACAAACGCTTTGAACTGACAGCAAATCTAAGTTATGGTAGTCATTTTAGATAAGTCAAATGACGTCAAAATCGTCATCAGGAAAAGTTAACTCTTTCCTGGATAGGAAGGATTAGTTAGGCAAGACTGCCCTCTATGGATCAAATACCTAAATTGCAATCCATAGATTGAACATACCTTTCAGTTTCCTATTGGCTTATCAACTAATGACGTACAGTGAGTCTGGCCCTTTAAAAGTTGGGACAAAGGGAAGAGAAGTGGGCAGAGAGAGGGAGTTGGTGGAGTTTGGGAATTCCGATTTGGACATGCAGAGAGATCAAGAAACATTCTCTGGGACTAACACTCTACTCTTAAACTCTCTTGGACACAACTCTTGATACTTAGAATCTTACTCTGACTTTCTAACCAACACCACTTTTCTCTATCACTCACGCACCTCCATACAACCAATCAAGTTCCTGGGACTACCTACTCATCTGATGAGAATATCTACATAACTGGTAATTATGCTGGTTTTATTTAATTAATTTAAATTAATTAAAATTTACTAATAGCATGATATATGACTGGATAAATCACGGTCAGATTTCAATATTTAGAAATCTTAGTTAACTAAAGAATATATAGTTATAAACATTCCATTCTGCAGGTGGAATTAAGAATAATTATTTATTAATGTGATAGTATCACATGTTAGCATACCGCTGTTTTTATCCAGGTGTATTGATTTGCTCTAAAATAAGATAAGATATCTTTTTAGGCAAATTAAAATTCGGCTTATAGAATCTGGTAGATTATTCTTATTGGATGGTCCCAGGAAATGACTAATGAGTTGGTTCAAATGTTATTCAATTGAAAATCACAGGAGAATAGGATACTATATGCCTAGGAGGATCTAGCCAGCATTGAAAGGGTTACTCAGTTGATTTAACTGTTAGCCAAGGTTTTATGGCTTTTCGCTGTGAAAAGCTTTATTTTTGTCCATGGAGCTTACCCTCATAAATCTTATTAAGTGACAGAAGATGCTGTTAGCCATTGAAACTTGTATAGCCATTCCATTGTATTGCATATTTATGTTATACTAAATATTTACTGATTATTATCATGCATGCTGCCTAATAATATTGTTATTTAATATGTCACAATAAATAAATCTATTTTTATAAGAAATTGTGATTTAATTGTATGGAATACTTTTCACTTATTTGATAAACGATCTCTAAGATCTAAGAGAATTTAAATAGTGGGCAATTCTCGACTGCTTAATATTATCATCACATAAATATCCTCACAGTGTGATCTATGCAAAACCATATAATTAAGCTGAAGTTGTTTTAGTGCTTAATCCCTTAAGCACACAGGACATGTGTGACATGTCATGATTCCCTTTTATTCCAGAAGTTTGGTCCTTAAGGGGTTAAAGTGTCCCTTTAAGATACCGTCAATATTTACATAAATATTTGCTAGACCAGGATAATTATCCATAACTTCTTACATGAACATTCCTCCAGAATCTGAATTTGGTCTTCTTTGCCACCCACTTACCCTTAGTTGCCTTCACCCATCTCCTTCTAAGTACAGAGGCCATTATCCTTCTCTACATGTATGTAAGAGGTGCATT